AAAATTCACACCTGTTATGATGGAACCTTGGAACCACGATAAAAATGTTGGTCGTGGAATTATGATCGAGAAGGGTTTGGTCACGACTGCATAAGAAATTCCAGTAGGTCTCATAAACCTTAATGATCACCTAATTACCATCAAGACCAGAATCGGAACCTGTATACCAGTAACTTCCATAAGTCGTCAAATAACAACTTCTAATAATTCAAACGACAAATTTGAGCCAATGATTGGAGTTGCTGGTCATTCTCTAAATCAATTAGAGAAAAGTAAAATAAAGGAGGAATTTTTTCGACGATATCGTGACATTTTTAAACCAAATGGAAGAAAAACAAGAACTTCTGTTGTAAAACATAAAATTGACACTGATGATGCCAGACTGTTTCATCAATCAGATCCAAGAATACCAAAGGCCAAAAGGGAGAAAGTTGAAAGAATTGTTGTGTAAATGGAGGAAGACAGGGTGGTAGAAACTTCTACCGGCACATGGGTCTAGAAAAATGATGAAACTACGAGGTTATATATGGATTGCTGTCAGTTAAACAATGTTACTAAGAAAGACAGTTATACTGAACTTCGACTAGACGACACATTGGCCGGAAGTAAACTATTATCTACCTTAGACCTGAAGTCTGGATATTGACAAGTATAAATGGACCCAGTAAAAAAAGAAATAAAGAAAAGACAGCTTTTACCACCGGATCTGGATTGTGGCAATTCAATGTTATGCCAGTTGGACTATGTAATGCCATCGCGACATTTGAAAGAGTCATGGAAAATATATGTTAAAAGTTATCCTGGAAAATATGCAAGTGTATTTAGATGGAAGATATTTGATGAACATCTAAAAATATTTTTAAAAGACTTTAAGTTGCCCAACTGATGCTAAACCCCAAGAAATGCCAACTATTTTAAAATAAAGTTCGTGTGGCTGTAGATAAGAAAAAAGTCGCTTCTATCAAACAATGTCCACAACCAACTGATAAAACAATCGTTATAGTAAAAAAACATTACGTGAGGGGAAAGTGATATATACTATTTTTCTTATAAACACATAAAATCCAGGATATCTGGTAAACAAAAAAGTTTTCAACACAAGAGTAATATGCTAGCACGCCTATACGAATTAAAATAGGAAGTATTATCATTTTTGAACAGTCCAAATACAAATGAACTAAAAAATATTTAGCAATTTCACCTAAGTCTGGCTTATCCAGCTAATATATTGGAAATCCTGCACAATTAGTATATTAATCTTTTAATATTTGTATTATGTTTCGGATTATAAGCTTAGTTGAATCGGTCATTTGAGAAACAGCACATGTCAGTTGTAAATCATTTTTCAAAAAATAAGAAAAAGTGAAAATCTCAAAACGTGGCTAAAAAAATTGTTTTGTACACTTAACGTTTAAAACTTGCCCTATTTCGGGTATAATACAATAATTATTTAAGCAAAATAAAATGAATATAAAAACTTAGTAAAAAGTTTTATTATATATTCTAAAATTCATCAAAGAAGATTACAAAATAAGAAATTTTTTTTCGTTTTGATCGTTTTCATTTTCAGTTGCCGGTCAATTTATTATTTCGGTATAAAAGTCATGGTGCATATCTGAAACGTTTTTCCTAAAAAAAATTCAAGTAGAATTTGTACTTAATTTGGTACTCCGATACTTTGTATTAAATAAATCGTACATAATTTTCACGTTGTTTCATTGAGGTATTTTTCTGTGCTACTATAGTAATTCTTGTAAGAAAGCATCTGAAATGGTCCTCAATCTGATCTACTATATTTCCTAGTTGTATTTCCAGAAATACACTTCCTTTTGTCTTAAGGTTGTTTGCCTTTTACGATTAACTTAGTTGAACATCGATATTCTCGGGTTAAACGTCAAACTCTTGCTATTGTAATATATCCAGAAAAGGATGTTAAAAGGTATTTAAATAAGTGACATTTCAGTTTAGGTCATCACGAATTTCTTGGCCTCTTAACTTTGACGTTATTGCAAGTCATCAATGCTTGTAAATAGGCATCCTGCTCATTTTTGGTTATCAGGAGTCAAAATCTTTAAATAATCTCTTCTGTTACCCTCAGAACATCGGTTATAACACTTTACCTTACACTACTTAAAAAACTAACAGCCTGTTTTCACCCTTTTATTATTTTATACTTATATAACTTTCTGTTTCCTGTGTTATTTATTATACTATCAGAATCACTTTTGGCAGTTGATGCGATGGTTTTAAATAATTTACACCAGTACACTCCGTTTAGAAAGAGCACATGTCACTGACTTGTGTTGTTTCTAAATGCAATCAAATATTAAGTGATCCATAATTCATATGAGTGTATATCGATCAAGTGATGTTACTGCGTGGATAGATGTGTTTACCTTTAAATATTGTATTTTTGGTATAAATACCTAATGGCCAAAAATGTGATATGTGTCGTTTCTTAAATCGTCGTCAATATCACGAAGTGACGTCACTCGATTTTCACAACTTTACAAGAGAGCATTTTAGAGTTGTTTTACAAAGTTACGCCTATTCGTACACACGGTTAGATACGTGCTATTTTAATAAATGAAATGACTTGAGATAGGCAATTTCGTGAAATTGTAGAGCATACTTTTTTACATAATATGTGACTTATCTCAGTTTTCAATTTTTCGAGTTACGTCATTTTCGAGTTACGTCACTTCGTGATATTGACGACGAAATGACCGATTCAGTTAGGAAAAATTTAATTAGTCGGTAGTATTTTTGACAAAGTAGTAACGTTGCTGATGACGTGTAAGGTTTTTGTATTAAAAACTCTATATTTAAGCACGGGTCGTAGATTAATTCATAATACATTTTAGACATTTCGGGATTCCCTCGTATCTCGCGTCCCACAGGTTTAAAATCGTTCTTCTGGTAAATAATTCCAAACGGTCGTTACCATATTCCACAATAAATTTGCATGTTATAAGTAACTTGCGTGATGGCCATATTCATAGACCTTCGGGATGCAGAATTATTATTACAAATATTAAACTCCTGGAGTTTCTGTTGTCCAGGGCCCTTTTCCGACCTGCTCGTGGCCGCCGAAAAGAGACGTGAGTCCGCACCGGCCGATTCACTGCGACCCTAATAAATTCAGTTTGCCGTGTAATTTTGTTTGCCATCCCTCCTTGATATTCATTCAATTGGAATTTATTGAATGATTTACGGTCTCTGATGAATTTTTCTTTTTTTTTGCAAAATAACTTCCTGAAAGTCCGAAATGCTAATACGGTTTTCTGTATGTTTGGTATTTTTTATATTAAATCACGACGTCTTCAAAGAAATACAAAGTTTAAATTAGTTTTAAACAAAATTTGCTTTTAAGACAAGTTAAAGTAGCGATTCGTTTTGAGAGAGTAGAAATAAATCATGAATGAGGGAGCTTAATAGAGGGTATAAAGCTAAATATGTTTTTGGTAATGATTATTGGAAGAAAATTGAGCATAATATAAATCGCAGATATAATTCTGCTGTGTCTGTTATTATTAATATTGAGCTGTACAAACAAATTTTTAAAATTGTTGAGTTATAATTATGTTCTAGTTAGAAACATCACATCTTAATTTTTAGACCATGAGCCACAAAGACAAAACCCTCCCCTCCCCGTGGGAATTTGTTAGTCACATTTTTTTTTGTTGGTATTGCCATGTAGTTTAAGGTTTAGGTTGTTCGCATTTTGAAAATTCCAGCATTGCCCGGAAAAACATGGAAAACCGCTGAATTACGAAAAAGATTACTGTTTTAATATTTTTTGACATTTCAATGAAACTTTTCGGTGGAGAAGAGGTTTTTATAAACAATATATTGTGAAGTAATTCTTCCCTTAGTTTTCATGGTTTGTTTATCGGGAAAATAGCTGAAAAATGAAATATTAGTTCCATATTCTTATATTTTTTTTATTTGTAAATGTTGAACTTAACACGAAACAAACAAATCAAAAATATCCAAACAACGGCATGTGTAATCAATAGCTTTCTTCTTCATCTTCATCATCCTCATGTAGTATATCAGTAAAGTTAACTAGGTCTGGCTCACCCCCATCTTCAAACTCAGCTTTCCATAACATCGGTTAGTTCGGGCGGCAACGCATCCCCATTAATCCAATTAATCTTCAGTTGTCTATTTTCAGCCATGCCCAACTGGATTTGATGCCATAGATTTAGCGACGTGGACATTATTTCATATGTTGCACTGGTAGTTTACCCTTTTATTAGGAATGTATCTCCACAACCCCTTCTTAGTCTTTTAATGCTTTTAGTAGATACATCTGAGTAAGTATCTGTCACGAAATCTATCCCTATGCATTTTGGAAAGCGACTTAGTATTATCTCTAGTTTAAATTAACGTTCCTGGGATAGGAGCAGAGCGCGACCAAAAATATTTCTTTCTGCTCTTATCTCAACTAATCTGTTTTGCGGAGACGTAACAACTAACTTCTCTTGGATACTATTAAAAGTTTGCAGCTTTCGTATCTTCAGTGGTTCATGAAATTTTGTATTTTTATGAATAAACCTATCTTGTACAAAAGATGATAAACAGAACAGACCATTCTTGTCGCTAACTTCGAACGGATTGATATATTGCTTAATAGTTTGAATCACCTTTAAGACAATTTGCTCACTTCGTTTCATTTCTCTTGTTTGCATATCATGGTGGGAGGAATCTGATGTGTGTAACATGCCTGCTTTTTCAAATGTCAACTCTACGTATTTAGCACACCATCGTGCATATGCCCAGAAACTTCTGCTAAAACTCACTATGCCGCCAGTGTATTTGACATATCGATTGTCTGTTCTATTGTGATGTCAAGAGAATTTCGGGAACCGGGAACTAGTGATCTACAGACACTGAAACTATTACTGCGAAGTAAGTCTTCAGCTCCAGGGTGTATTCTTTGCAGATTCAAAAGAGCGAGCGTATAGACTACAAGGTACCTGGCATAACTGTGATGGTCACATATCTTTCAAACATGCTAAGTGTAAGTCAAAGTTGTTTCCTTTAGTCGCTCGCTGAAACCTCAGAATCAGTAACACTTTGTCCATGTATCTTACCCAAAATTGTGCTCTTTTACCCAATATCTCATCCCTAACTTCAAATAAGAAAGTCTGGTAGTGCTTGTAAAATGTTTGACAAGATGAGTTGTTATTCACAGATGTCAAATTAGAATGTGACGCGTTTTCTGCCAGGTTTTCAATTGCTTTTATACCTTCAGCATTAGGAGTTTTTCCAGGATTCATTGTCATGTACATCTTAATAAGTAATCTCTGTAGTGCTTCCATTATGGTTTTATGGACTCTCATAGCTCTGTTATAATGTTTTCCCGACATTAATTTTGCAATCGAACCACTTGCACATAAAGTAAAATATCTTCAAAGCCAGAACCACTCATCAATAATTTACCTAAGCATCCAAAATAAGAGCAGGTGGTATGAAAAGCGCCAACGTTAATGAATATGTCTGGAAATTTCTTGGTATGCCATTGCACAGCATAATATTTGATGGCAGCCACCAAATCTAGTTTAACAAATGTATAAACCTGCCCAGTTTTCTCTGTAGTTTTTTTGCGACTGTGTCAGGATTTCTTGAATAGTGGAATATTCTGTAATTGGCGAAGTAATTGGTGTCATGTAGCCTACAGTTAAAGGTCTCTGTTCACTTTTAATATTTGATGTTTCTGAAACCCATCCTGACCATCCAGGTACGTGTTGAATCTTGCTCTTCACAATAACCAGAAGAAATCAGATTGTGTAGCATCATTGATGAAAGCTTTGTTTATACAAGTTATTATTGTTACGTCGATATCAGGCTCAGGGTGCTTTTGAATAAAACAAGGTTGTAGATATCTCTCCACAAATTTGATAGTACGTTGTTTCGTTTTGGGTACATCACTACTACTACTCAATATTTGGACATTAGTACTTCTTTCTTGAATCATAATACCATGTGTTGAATGAGTTGTCCCACTACCCGATGGCGTTTCTTCATTTAAGTCGCAGTTGTCCCAACACAAGTGCTACACAATGTTACCTGTTGTAGTTATATTTGAAGGTTTGAAAGTTCTGCACTTCCTGTAAGGTGTCTTATAGTCATTCCTAAACTTAAATGCTTCGCCATTTTCCATTTACCATTAGTAGTATTATACCAAAAATCCTGTGCAAATGAATTCACTGTGCGCCCAACTTTGTCATTCGCAGCGTGCAATGGTTTTTGGCTTGTTAAATGCGACAAAATTTCACACAGTAAATTAGGAGCCTTTGTTTCTTCTGATGCCAGAAATTCGGCTGAAAGAGACCAAGGCATTTTCGGTGAATTTTCGTATGCCTGCTGGATATGTCGTCTCAGAATCATTGCAGCTTTTTGTATTCTTCGTAACTCTGATGACGCAGCTTTAAATGCAGTTTCTATGGCTTCTCCTGGATTTATCCATGACGAGCAAACACGTTTACTTTTGTAGTTTGGCTGTAGAATGATATACGGTTGCCAAAATGGTTTATTAGTTTTTGTTTGTTAGTTTTATAGTTTTCGTTATAAAATTCTGGTGAATGTTCTGACATGAACAACAAATACCTCACACGCAGCATTATCATGCGTTCAACATAGTTCTTTAAATGTTCAAATGCTTCTTTATGTACCTTTTGCTGCGCAAGTGACTGGCTTTCTGGAGCGGCATGGAGTGGACTATCCGGAAGTCTTGTGTATTCCTTACGACAGTTATTATGATCTAAATCTTTCATTTCACATAAAAATCTGTCATCTGATTTTGCTTAATGGAAAACCCCGCTATTTTTGTAACACATTTGGTAGGAAACTCGTACTTTTTTTTCGAAGAAATCAATTTTCGATTCTTGTGGCAAAAAATTCAGCTATCACTCGAAAATAGATTTCTTGTAGGAGCAGTAGATCTGCATCTTCGCTTGGATGTTGATGGTTCATATTCATTGCCTGATAGCGGTACATGGTTTTTAATTTTTGATATGTTCGTAAATTTTTGGTAACACCAGCGATGGTAAAAATTATGGTCTTCATCGAGATCCACTGGCACTTGTCTACACAGTTTTCAATCTATTACCTTCACTGGATTCTTTTAGTCGCACTTCAACATATTCACGAACTTTTTGAAATGATTGAGCGGAAAATTACCGAAGAATATTGTCTGATTTGTTTTCATTAAAATGAATTATGCATCTCTTCTCTTGTAACGTTGTTAATGCTCTATGTAGTCGCTAAACTTAAACTAAAACCTTAAACTGCATGGCAATACTAACCAAAAAATATGTGGCTCACAAATTTTAACTGGGGGGGATGGGGGGTATATACGAGCCTTCGCTCTATTTTAGAAATCATTTGAAATATTATTATGATTTTTAGTTAATATAAACATTAATTAAAATAATTGTTTAATTGCCAGTATATCTGGTGTAGATAAGAAGAAATCTTTAGAAATAATATATCACCGGTACATGCATACAAAAAACACATCCGTATTTTAGAAAATAGAGATTTTGATTAACTTTTTTAAATAAATGTGCACAATTTCATAAAAAAAATTTCTTGATTAAAATAAATTTTTACAAATTTTTAGTTTACAAATAATGGGCCTAAAGAAATTCAAATACATTACCATTCCTACGAAAAAACTCACCCCTTTCCACTATATTGGCCTTCCCTCTTATACGATATTCCAGTATTAATTAAAAAAAATAAAAAAATTGTTAAAAATTTGAATATCCAAACTAATCACACAATTCTCTGTCAAACTGTTCTCCGTGACAATAATCCATCGTATTCAAAAATTTTCGTATAAAATTTGACTTTCGCGATGATCGTGTACATAGATTGCAAACAGAACTAACAAAAATTCGTGTTCAATTCGCATATATATATATCCATACATCCGTTTCTATCTCGAACTAGCTAACAAGCCTGATTGATTCCCTATTCATAAATCACTCACCCTCACCTTCGCTGCAAATGAAATTTTCCGTTCGCATGTCGGAATAGACATCGATGTCATGTCAAAGTTTAACGCTGTTTGCCGTAAAAATGGCAGCTAGGAACCGCTAGATTTTCGATTTGGATTTTTAGGGCAGCGCACAAGAATTAACCAAAAAATAGGTAAACTTTCATTTTTAAATACTTAATATATAGGCTGTTCCACATAAGAAAGCAAAGCAAGAAGGCCTCCTTAACCGTTAGACATGCATATTTGAATAAAAAGTGTAATATTACGTACAATTGATTCAAGTTGTACAGTATATTTTCTTTACGACCCGCTAATAAAAATCTACAAAATTTAAAAAAATTTTAAACCAGTTCTTTGTTTTTATATTACAACGTCTAAGGACTAATTAGGATACAATTGCCTTATTAGACAAACAGTTTTTAATGTCGATATAAAATCTAAACTTTTAAAACTTGGTAGGCATATTTATTTATTAAATAACACACAAGAAATATAAAAATAACAAATAACAAAGTAGATAAAATCAGAACGTTTGTGTTGTCGCGATCACGCCTTCATTGTTCTATTTTTCACTCAGAACTTCACTCCTTCCTTGGCTTGACGATTGATGGCGCTGTGGCTCCCGCAACTTGTGTTGCGTTGCCGGTTTTAGCAAAGTCCTGGGCATGTCACCGCGTTACAAACTTAAATAAAATAATAATATAATGTGCCTTCACCCTGGATTTCTAAACCGACCTTCCGCATGTTAACTCACCATTGCAATGTTTGCACTATCAACTTTTGCACTATCAACGTCTGCACTATCAACGTCTGCACTATCAACGTCTGCACTATCAACGTCTGCACTATCAACGTCTGCACTATCAACGTCTGCACTATCAACGTCTGCACTATCAACGTCTGCACTATCAACGTCTGCACTATCAACGTCTGCACTATCAACGTCTGCACTATCAACGTCTGCACTATCAACGTCTGCACTATCAACGTCTGCAAAGTTTAGGCAATGTAGCGCGTTTATTCTAGTACCTGGCACTGATTTTACCAAAATTGACAAGAGTAAAGTACCCCTTGGAGGAGATTGGCGGAAAAATTGTTTCACCTGGCAAAAAGGTATTGGGATAACTATTACGTATGTGAAGTTTAAGCAATCTAGCGAGTGTTTCCTAGCGCCTGGCACTATTTTTTTCAAAATTGATAAGAGTAAAGTACCCCTTGGAGAAGATTGGCAAAAAAATAATTTTACCTGGCAAAAAGGTATTGGGATAAGTATTACGTGTGTAAAAGTTTAGCAATCTATCGCGTTTTTTCCAGTACCTGGTAATTTTATCAAAATTGACAAGAGTAAGGTACCCCTTGGAGGAGATGGGGGGAAATGGGATCACCTGGCAAAAAGATATTGAAATAAGTATTACGTGTGCAAATTTTAATAAATTAGTACGATTTTTCTAGTACTTGGCACTGATTTTGTCAAAATTGACAAGATAAAAGTATCTCTTGGAAGCGATGGAGAGAAAAATGGTTTTGCCTGGCAAAGAGGTAATGTAATTAGTATTACGTGTGCAACGGTTAGGCAATCTAGTGCGTTTTTTTTAGTACTTGGCACTGATTTTGTCAACATTGACAAGAGTTAAGTTCCCCTTGCAGGAAATCGGGGGAAAATGTGACTTTGTTAATATGAACATTTAGTACAAGTGGAAGATAATGAACGCATGCGTACGCAAAAGTAAAAAAAACTGCCTTATATCCTTAATCTGATGTTATTTGTAAAGTTTCTCAGATGGGTACCTATGTATGTTTTTTTGAGATAATTGTTTTTAAAAATCTCTTTTGAAGAACATCTAAGAAATTTATATGTACTCAAAATGCTCCTCCCCAGATAACAGTACCGTATCGTGACTTCCAACTAATGAGTAATATAAGGTTTTTATTATATTTGGTGTTATTTCGTTAGGTATTTAAATTGATATAAAATTATTTGTAGTTTTTTTTTATAATATAATTCACGTGAATGTTCCATTTCAGGTGTTTGTCTATAAATATTTCATTTGCGATACAGAATTAATGTTGTCATTATTATTAATTTGTTGTTCAAAAGGGGAATTTCCAGATTCGTTACAACGAAAGGGTAAAAAGTGTGTTTTGTCAATGTTAATGGTTAAGAGTTTGTGGTCGAACCAATTTTTTAAATTGCAAAAGCCGGCTCTTGCTAGATTTTTAATTCGGGCCAAGTATTTGATTCGAAAAGTACAGCCGTATCGTCATCTGCATTCTATAGACAGAATATTTTATTAACATATAGATAAAAAAGTATTG